GTCAGGAGGACGGGGCCAGACTCTTTCCAGTGGTGCCCAACGACAGGACAAGGGGCAACGGGCACAAACTGAAGCAGAGGAAGTTCCGCCTGAACACGAGGAAGGACTTCTTCTCTCTGAGGGTGACGGAGCCCTGGCCCAGGCTGCCCAGGGAGGCTGTGGAGTCTCCTTCTCTGGAGATATTCAAGCCCCACCTGGATGCGGTGCTGTGCAGCCTGCTCTGGGTGACCCTGCTTGGGCAGGGGGTTGGGCTGAGGGATCCCCATAGGTCCCTTCCAACCCCGACCATTCTGTGGTTCTGTGATTCTGTAATTCTGTGAGTAAGGAAAGTAAGGTATTTTGATATTAAAACTGACAGTCCCGTGCACGGTTTTTGTTGTCACATTTAAGGTTACGGTATTTCAGAATAGCCCTCTGACTATTGAGTGTTCAACTCCAGCTTTTCATGCATCAGTACCATGGGTGAAAAATGCAGCTGTTCTTTGTGTACCACTCTGTTGTGTACCATGCCATAGCACAAGGAGCTAGCTCTGTCTTGTGCACTTCTAAATTCAGTCACAAGTACAGAATTCCTGATTACTTTGTGCCTTCAGAGTACAAAAGTAATGTTGTACTCAAGATGAACACAGCTGTTGATGTTTGCTTGCCCCAGTGTTTGTGTTGTGAGATGACAGGTAGTATAAAGCAAAGAAAAAAAATATCTGCAGCTTCTCTAAAATTTAGTTTTCTGTTATGAATGTGTCACATGGAACACTGGGATAAAGGTCAGCCTTGTGCTTGCACGTTTGGTTATGCTTAATGTCTAGGATATTATTCTCGAGACACCGTCAACAGTCCTGTCTGATGAAAGGCTTTTTTGTGCCTGTCCTTTTCTTGTCATTCAGACTATGATGATGTTTTTTCTACTGCTATTTACCTTCCTTTCCACTGCAAAGCAGTATTGTAAGAAAGGGAAAACCTTGTGCTTTGTATGCACATCAGTGTGCAAAAGCAAAATTTTCTTCTATCTTCTAAAGCCTCCCTTTTTTTCTTTCTTTTTTTGTAAATTGAAATGTTTGTGGCTTGCGCTGTGCGAGTCCACCCTATAATACAAGGGCAATTTTCGCTCTTGTTAGTAAGCTCTGAACAGACACACCCAATGCATATCAACTTCATCGAAGAGTACACTAATGTGACATGGGACTTAGTGGAGTAAGTTAATTCTTTTTTTGGAAATATTTTGGCATAGCTGCTTACATTCAAGTTCAGAATAAAATGGAAAAGTGTAATGGATTCTGCAGGTGGGTATGGACCGTGAGTTTGTGTTCTAGAAGGCAGTCTGTTAGGTGGAGCTGCATGTTCTGAAGGGGTTGTTCGACTGTGAAAGTCTGGATTTATCAACCATGAACAAGTGAAATTATTCAGTGAGAAAATAAACAGTCACTTGTAATACCTGTTTTTCACAATTAAATTGAAATAATTTAAAAATACATAAATGTTATAATATTCCCTGTAGAAAAACAATATCACTAGTAAAAATTACTCTGTTGTGGTTAGGGGTTTTTTTTGAAAAGAACAGAAAGGTTTTCATACAGTGTTGGCAACTTACACTGACAAAAATTTGTGTCTCTGTTGTAAGATCTCTCAAAACTCACAGAATCACAGAATGGTTGGAGTCAGAAGGGCCCTCTGGGGATCACCCAGTCCAACCCCCTGCCCAAGCAGGGTCACCCAGAGCAGGCTGCACAGGACAGCATCCAGGCGGGTCCTGAATATCTCCAGAGAAGGAGACTCCACAACCTCCCTGGGCAGACTGTTCCAGTGCTCTGTCACCCTCAGAGTGAGGAAGTTCTTCCTCATGTTCAGACGGAACTTCCTATGCTTCAGTTTGTGCTCATTGCCCTTTTTCCTGTCGCTGGGCACCACTGGAAAGAGTCTGGCCCCGTCCTCCTGACCCCCACCCTTCAGATATTTAGAGGCATTTCTAAGGTCCCCTCTCAGCCTTCTCTTCTCCAGGCTGAACAAGCCCAGGTCCCTCAGCCTTTCCTCGTAGGAGAGATGCTCCAGTCCCCTCCTCATCCTCATAGCCCTCCGCTGGACTCTCTCCAGTAGCTACTCAAATTCAGGGGAGCATGGAGGGCAGGTGAATATTTTACCTCTGAGAGCAACTTTCTAGGAAAAAAAGTTTTGTGACATCAGTTGTTTTGTGATGTTCATCTTTCTGTTGTTGTCAGCATGCTTTTAAGAAGGAAAAAGAAAAATCTAGGCATTTAGATTTTTCTTATCACTGGGAGAGTTCCTTTATTTTCCAAGATTTGCCTGGTCACATACACTGTCTCAGCTGTCATCATCTTGCTGCAGAATGCTTGGTGAGATTCAGCAGTTTTGAAATGAGCATGGTTTGGTTCAGCTTGTTTTGGAACCAGAGGGAGGAAGACTAAGTAACTGCTGTGGCAGAAATTATTTCTGCTTTTGTGTGTTTCTTGTCCAGCAAGGGGCTATCCCAGTACATAACTGCTGGCATGGATCTGGGAGTGGGGGGGGTCTTACCACATAGGTAATCCTTTATCAAGAGCTTTCAGGTTTAGGGAGTGACTCTGCCGGTGGCTTTTCTAGGAGCAGAGATGTACCTTCTCTGTCACGGGCTGACAGATTCAAACTGGGTTTGGCAGAGGCTGTGGCACTGTGGTTGTACGACTTTAGGAGCCCACACGATTTTTCAGAGCGAACTTTGGCCCTTGTTTGGACTATGCAGAAGCTTACCTTGCTGCTGCTTGTACTGTGCCTGCTCTCTGGAAAGCATCTTTCCAGGTTGTAGCGCCATGCTTTGAACGAAGTTCAGATTTTTGTGTCACTGAAGTAAGTAAAAAATAAAGAAAAGCCTCTGGGATGTGAAAGGTGGGTAGAAATAAATGGTTGAAGTTGTCTTTGAATTTGTAATGAAGAGAAGCTGTTGGTGATAGTTGGGTCCACAAGGCATTTTTCTGGCTGTAAAACTTGAACCAGTTCTCCAAGGACATAGTCAAATTAGCACACTGTAGAAGTAATACATCCTCCTCCTGGAAGTGGTGAGAGGAGTTTTTGAATTGTGTAGTCATGGAAGATGTAGTGTGTTCTTCTGTTCTTAGTAAATGCATTGTGAAGCCAGAAGTATACTAGTAAAGTGTTAGATAATTTTGTATATATTCCCACTTCTTTGTCATAATATGGTGTAAGCATGTGCCAGCTTATTAGGGGAACAGTCATCTTCTAAAAATACTTGAAATAATTTTTAGTATTTCTTAGTACTTCCCTTTTTATGGGATGTCCTAGTATTTTCTAATAGCCTCTTCAGAAAGTGAATTTGCTGTCATCCTTCTCTGTGTGAAAAATTCTAACATGAGGGTATGCAAATGCTGAACACTTCTGAAATGTAAACCTGCAAGAATCAGACTTTTTTTCCTAATCCTGGTTACACTCAGATGCTAATTGTGAGCTGGGATTTTTTCTATAGCTATTTCCCTTGAAATAGTAATAATAGAAAAAAGGTACTCAGTCTATGAACAGTCTTGCAACAGTCTTGATTTACATGACATATAAACATGACTGCATACTAGAATGTGATAATTGGAAATGGTTTGATGTTACCACCATTATTTCTTGATTTTTAAATAATCTTAAGTGACAGTTGAAGTGAATTGCTTGGTTCACCCACTTCCCCTGCCAACAAATGCCCTTACACAGTGCTCAACTTTTTCTTTTCAGAATTGTCACTCCTGTAAGTAAATTAAACTTTCGAGTCTGGAGCCATCAGACGTTAAAATCTGATGTCCTTCTGGGAAGTGCTGCTCTGGATATTCATGAGACTTTGAAATCAAACAGTATGAAACGTGAGTATAAGATGAATAGTACCTTGGCGTGCTGCAGAGTTTGTCAGGAGTAGTCGGTTAATGAGAGCTGTGTGCAGCTCTGTGGATGGCCCTTAACAACGCCTTTTGTTGCTACAGATTGCACGGAAGAGCTTCCTCCTACTTTTTTGGTGTAATCTTTTTTGTTATACACAGTCTTGCTGTGGTGTCATTGAAAACGTGGTATTGTCAGCTTTGCTAGTGTGTGCAAGAGTGAAAGCCTAATTAAAGAAAAGAGTGTTTCCTTTTATATAGCTTAAAACTGAAAACTCCGAGATGTTCCTGGTGCTAGACCAGGAAAGATGTGAAGTTGTTTTTATTTCTAAATAATGTTATGGGGTTATGCTGTATTATTTCCTGCATCTTAAAACTAGCTAGCCTTTAGGCAGTGTGTGCGTCTTATGAAGCTTGAAAGAGAAATAGAGAATTCTACACACCCGTTACCGGATTGATGTTGCTATAGCGTATAGCTTTGTGCTGTCATACTTACGTTCTGTCCTTTCGAGAAGCATTTGCTTCCGCGCTTTCAGAGGTGGGCACTGTAAATGCAGCACGTTGGTAGCAGTGTCATAAGCTGTTCTCCTGCCAGCGTCACTGTCCTGCTGGATCGGGGTGGAAATTACCTTGGGTAACTACACTGTTCTGCGTGACACCGGATACGCTGCTGTAACTCACTGGGTCTTGTTTCAAACCGTTTCATCAAGAGCATTGATTCACAGTTCTGTTTCACTGGAAAAGAGTTACTTACCCTGAAAATACCTTTGGTCTGGGGATATGATGCAAAATCTTCACGTTGTAAATGTGAATCTTGATGTCATTAGATAAATGTGAAATATTTGAATCAGAAGATAGAATTGATATCTGCTCTGTATGAAGAATAAGGTGAATTACATTTCCTAACTACAGGTTTTTAAGGACAGGTGTATTAATTGCTTTAGAAGTGTGGGCAGAAATGTGAGACTCGCTCTGTACTGTAGTGACAGTCCTTTCTTTAGGCAGCAGCAAGTGTATGCTCCAGTTTTCCCCTTTTTGTACGAGTAATAACTTTTTATGGACATCTGGAAATGATTAGTTTTACCGCACAAAACGTAAATAATTATGGAGAGACAGAGCTGTAGTTCTCGGTTTTGGCTTGTTTGTTTTTCCTTGATCACTGTGGTCTGTGATTGGCTTCTTGAATAAAATGCACTTTTTTGTTATGTAGTAAGATAAACCCCCATTCTTTTCTGTCCTTTTTCAGTTGAGCAGGTAGTGGTGACATTGCATCTTGTTGGTGACAGAGAACCAGCAGAAGTGGTGGGAGATTTGTCTGTCTGCCTAGATGGGATGCAGGTAGATCCTGAGCTCGTAACCAACGGTGATGCCTCCAGTACAAGAAGTAAGTAATCTTCAGTTCAAATGTGCCCTCTATATATATCTGGTACACAAAGTGTTTTTTTCTGGAAGCTTTAACACAATGTTATTTTTAGTAATCATAACAACAGCAGTTTCTATAACTTTCTGTTTGTGGAGTCTTACGCATTTTTATTTAAGGTGGAGTCATAGTACACCGTGAAGACTTTCAGCCTTACTGTAATGAAAATGAGATCAGTATCTTTATTTTCTGGACTTTGCTAACTTGTATTTAGCAATTCAAAACTTTAATGAAAGCCTCTAGCTTCCCTGAATATTTAATAATATCATAAACGGGAAAGAATATAGAATAAGTTCATCTGATATCATCGTACATATTCTGCTCCCTAGGAAAAGTGGGTTTATATTATTTTTTTCTTAAAATATCTCATTTAAATAAGTGTTTTCATAGATTTTTTTGTTCCCCTTGGAGTGCTGCAGAAAGGGACCCGCTATTCTGTTTGATTGGTGTCCTCAGTTTCAGACAACTAGTATGATTTTTAACTGAAAATCTTGAATACATGTAAAATATGTAATTATACTAAAATAAATAGTAAGGGCTATTAATTCCATTGGTGCAGGGCAGGCAACGGAGCATTTCTGAGGGTATTGTACATTACAAAGTAGAAAGAGATAAGAGGTTATTTCTCCAGAAGGCAGCACTGGAGAGACTGTCTGCGGTAGCAAGTAGCTAGGCAGTTAATTGGCAATTTGTACGCTTCTGGGTTTTTTTAAAGGACTAAAGGAAGTTACTTTGAGATTCCGTTTAAGTATCATAGGAAAATTGAACTAACACACTACCTTTGCAGTCATTATTTCTTGAAGCTTTTTGTCCATCTTTCTTTGCATATTGTTAAGAGGATCAATCACATGATCTGATGGGGTGGGATTTTTTTGTAAATAAAAGCCAGATGCTGGGATTGTGTGGGGCTTGTAGAGCAGGGCTGAGGTCTATTGACAGCAATAACTAGTGAAAGTAACAGATTTTCCTCTTATGCTGTACTTGGTTTTCATCTGTGCTTTCTTCTGTTTTCTGAAGTTCACCCACTGAGAAAAGGCTGTCAGATAGGGAAAGGCGGGCAGGTAGTGGAATTGAGTACTGTATGCAGTTCTGGGCTCAGCAGTAGAGACAGACATTGACATACGACGCCAGACGTTCAGCAGAGGGTACCCAGATGATGAGGGGACATGAGGAGAGAGTTAAATCTTAAAGTAGTCTAACACATTCTTATTCTACAGGCTAAAGGTACTTACAGGCAAATACACTGTTTATTGGGTAGCTGAATTAAGATCTCTGTTTCTGGGATTAAAATCACTTCCATGTGTGGCCCACTAACAGCACCTTCTCATAAGCCTTTACATGACTACATCCTAGTCTTTGGCTTAGGTCTGTACATGGTTCCCATCAGAATTCATAACTGATTTCTTTGTTGATGACATTTGTTTAATTCTATGAAGGTAAAGTATTTATTCTGTCTACGTGAATGAGGAGTTCTGTGCTGCGTTTTCAAGTGTTGCAAATTCTGGCACAAAAGGCAAATATTTCCAAGGTGACTGAATAAGCAGTTGCAAAACGTTCGTGAATCTACACAGCTGCTATACTTCTGTTTGGAATGCAACCATATTCTGTGCCTGCTTGAATGCCTTTATGCTAAATAATTTACAGAGAAAGGGAAGGGTCCAGGCTAGAGAAAACACAGCCCCTGCAGTTGCTTGTTAGCCAACCAGAGGGAAGATTTGGGAGAAGTTGTTGCCTTTCCTGCTCTGCCTGTTGCCATTGAAAAGGGAAAGAATGGGAAAAGCTGGCTCCACTTGAAGAGTGGCGAACACTGCTTGATGCTGCTGCAAAGACAGGAGACAATGTTATTGAACTGAGTGTGTCTGGGAATATTCATACAGTCAAATGATATCCTGTTATATCTTCCATAAGGTGAAAATATTACTTACAGTGCCAGTGATTTAAAAAATCATGTATACACATGCACATACAGAGATGTGCAACAGCTATACGTTTTTGGACTAAGACAGTAGATAAGCAGCACAGTGTATCACCTCCACATCTGGAAAACATGGGAGCACTAAAGTCTGCTTCTTGCCTTGGAAATGATTCCGAATGTTGCTTATACTTCTATTCTCTTTTTCTTTCTGGTATTTAAGGTCCTACACAAAATGATAGCTCCAGAGTAAGGAATGATACACGGTAAGACTTTTTTCCTCCTTTTTTTACACAGCCTTTTAGTGTTTGCGGTTTTGAAGTATCTGTTACGATCTGAGTGTGTCTTTAAAATATTTTTCTGTTGTACATTCACATATTAAATTGTTTTCCATATAACCCGATCTTCCAGTTTCAGTTGTTTTTTTCCCTTAGTGTTCCTTACCCTTCTCCCAGTGAGAAACCAAAGTAAAATGTATTTAAAAAAAAAAAAAATCTTACTGTTGGGTAAATTACACTGGTTATTTTTACACCATTTTGCCTTATAGCGTGGAAGTATCAGAATTATATTTACCTTTGTTAAGATGCCAAAAGCTGTCTAGCAGTTGCAGTGTTTTAAGGTCGATATTGGATTATGTACCGTGCTGCTTGGTAGGATATAAGTGTGACCATAGTTGATGGTGGATTAACCTGCAGTGAGCACCATGCCACTTTAATTAGTTCTCAGTACTACAAGTATTTTAAGGATCTGTACAATGAACAATGCTCTTCGATGGCATCTGGAGTAGCTTAAGTGAAATTTCACTGTTTTTTTTCAATAGATCGTAGCTCTTAGCTATGTTGTCTAAATTTAGTCTTTGCATTAAAGTTTATTTTTGTTCTGTTTCCTTTTCATGCTCAGGTATTCAGAATGCCTGAGTGTCTAGTAGTATAATAATAATAACAGTAATAGCTGATTTGGGTTTAGTACCAACCATTCCGGTTTTTGGTGCTCATTACAGGTCCATTTTGAGGATCATGTAAATGATTTGGAATACGTCTAGCAGTGGTTATGATTACATGTATATTAATGTTTTCATATGCATTGTTATACCTTGGGCCGACTGGTCAAATACACTAAGCATAGAAGGTTACACTTCTGACTTTAATGTTCAAACAACAGCAGTATGCTTTCTGGGACTGAGGAAAACCTAGGCTACAGCTCTTATAAACTTCAGATCGCTAGTGGTTTGTACACGCTTTCGTAGTGTCTTACTTTGGGATTGGTGTGGTATGGTACAAATTACGTGTACCACGCCTGGTATAGACCAAAAGTCTGTTTGATGGTGATACTGAGGTCAAAAATACGTGGTTCTACTTGACTCTGTGACTTGTGATTTACTTAGGCTTATCTACTGGCTTTTATTTTGTGTATATGTAAAGGAATGTAATTTTAGAGGTACTGGGCTGAAACCATAGCTTGTGTCATTATTACTGATGGCCCATGTATTTGACCTGTCAGTCCACTAGAATTTTAGTTGACAGTCTTTTTATTTTGCACAGCATATTCTGAAAATAAAATGCTTTAGAAACAGAGATACAGATACTTGTAAACTGCTTACAGAGCTACAAATATATGAGAATAATACACTGCCAGGTTCACCTGAACAGTAGAGAATGATTGAGTACTGCTATTTAGATTCTTAATTCTTGCAAAGATGAGAAGTTTATATTCATAGCTCTTGGTCAAAACTTTAGTGCTTAGTCCTAAATTCTCCAGTCCTTTCCAGAATTGAGTTGAGGGGGAAAACTGGTATATGTTTAGTTAAGTTTTCTAGAAATATGCAGTATTCTGTGTGTTCAGAGCATACGCTGGCCCTGTGCAGCACTTGCACACAGTTCTGTTCTTGGGTCATAGGCAGCTTCCCGTCTCGTTGGGGACAAGTGGAATTCAGGGGCAGAAATAGCTGAGCAGCAAAACCCAGAGTCTGGGCCTAAAGGCAGGTGTATCGAGTGGGGAAATGAAAGAGGAGATTTCAGTGTTGGATGTTAGATACATTTATTTCACAACCTTTTCATCAGCTGAGGTTTCACATACCTCAGAAGATAAACTCTTAACATCTTTATACAGATGTATGGCTCTTCATAATTATTATGAATGTAGGAATCTCACCTAGTCATAACTATTACATTCATCAGTGTCTTCCGTACAGTTTAATGCCATCCATACGCTGTTAGAACAGTTCTCCTTTCTGTCTTTTCCTGCAAAAGGACTAACTCAAATGGCCTTGAAAGCTCTGAAGATGCTGCTCCCAGTGAAACCAAGACTGTTAATGGCAGTGACTCTCCATTACTCACAAATGGAAACTGCAAACCTACTAGACCTCCCAGGCCTTCGAGACCACCTCCGCCCACTCCCCGCAGACCCGTTTCAGTAGCTGGTAGGTATCCTAGGCCCCGGCATTCGTTTCAAAGCTGCACACTCTGAATGAACGTAGCAGTTTCTGATGCTGATTTGAACTACATTTTTTCATGGTAAATTCTTTGTCAGATAACTCCTGAAGGACTGTTTTTTAGCTTGCATTCAGTACATGTTGTTTAATCATTGTTCTTATTATTAGAAATTTCTTGCTTCCCTGTCTGCTAAGTAATGATTGCGGTGACACTGCTACAGAGAATGGAGCTGGGGAACGCTACTACTGCACTGAGACATCCCCTGAGTTTGAGGCTTGAGACGAAACCCACTGAAGGACTTGCAGAACTGTCTCAAGTTGACAATACTGGGTTTTGAAATACTAGTTAATTGTTTCTACAATTCTAGTTAAATTTTGTGAAATAGCAGCATTTAAAACACTCAGTACTCTCTTGCACTGAGATTGATATTTTATTTTATCTGATTATTTAAATATTGCAAAACAGGTACTTCTGAAGAGATAGTTGATGTTTTTAGGGTAGCTACTTTACCCCCGTACACTGCAATCTGTTTCACTAGTCACCTTATTGCAATTGATAAATGCTGAGTCTGGATGGGAAACTGCAATACAGTAATTAGTTTAAAAGAATAATCCAGTTTAGTTCAGTAGTAAGGCCTGACTTTGTACAACTTTTGATCCCAGCCACCAAATGGCATGCAGAAAAAACTAAAAACATTTAAAGAGTGTATGTATTCCCGTCCCCTTCCGATAACGTCTTTCCATGCAAATCTCTTCTTGAAAATTTTCTGCTTCTTATGTCTGAAATTATTACTCCAAATAACAAATGGAAAATAACTCATCAATTCAAGAAAGTAGTTTTTTGTTTATAATCGTTTAGTGTTTACAGAATGCAGACAGTGTGCTTTGATAAATGTGATTTGTTCTATCAGAAATGCCAAAATTGTGCTGTTGATGGCAGTTCTTGGATTAAAGCATTTTTACAAAGTGAGACAAAATTGCTTTTTAGTTTTTGTGTGAGCTGTAAAATGTGACTCTGTGTGTGCACTTTGAAAGGCCAGTTCTTGCATGCTTACCTTTATGATTTACAACTTCTAAAATAAATTGGTGATAATTATCAATTAAAGGCTTTTTTTTCTTCTGTCTTTCATATCTCTGACATCATAGCAAGTGTAAATGGTCCTTCATCCACATCCACAGAAAATGATGGGGCCAGTGCGGGATCACCGGCAGGGACAGCTGCAAATACATCTGCAGAACAGAGCCCCGAGGGGGCAACAGCTCCAGCAACAGCCCCGACAACAGCTCCTGCAACTGCTGCACTCACCACACCGCCAGTATCAAGACAAGTCCAGCCAGTAAATCCTCCACCTCAGGCACTTACCACAGTCAGTCAAGGTCCTCTTCCACCTGGGTATGGGTTTAATGACTTTTTTTTTTCTCTTGTGTGCTGACATTTCCGGTTTTACTTTATTTTACTTACAGTAGGTGTAACAAAATGTTCGTAACATCTATCTTTTGCTGCGTGACAAAAAATCCCCCGATACTAATTTGGAGGTCTGCATAACTGTTTTGTCTGGTAGGCCTTCAAGCATGGTTTATTCAAGAAAAGAATTAATCTTTCAGGTATTGTTGATGCTTGTCATATGTTCCCATGTCTGTGAAACATAGGATTTTTAAACAGTGTGACAGCTTGCTGTCTTCAAATTAGAATGAAGTCAGGTAGTAAAATATTGGTATAGGTAAGTAGAAGAAAAGCTGCTATTGCAGAACATAATCGGTGATATGTCCTGAAGTTTTGGACTTCGTACTGCAGCTCATGGGAGTAGCGTGGGCGCACTGTTGTGTTTCAGGCACATCTGGAATTTGCCGGATGGTTGCTCTATTGCCTCAAAGCTCTAATTTAGGTGCTAAATTTAAAACAAAATAAAGTTTCTGGACTCTGAGTGAGGGAAAGCAAAAGCTTTCCAGTGTGAATGGTGTAATTGGTGACATCTCTGCCTTAATGTGCAGGCAGTTGAACCAAAAAGGAGAAGTCTGAATTACCTCGCTTACTCACAGGATAACTGTGACAGATAAAACCAGAAGGGAAAATACCAGTTGTTGCTTTACCATTTTGCTTTCAAAGAAATGGCAAATTAGCATGCTTTTTCCCCCGCGATGTTACATTTGATGCAAATACAGGGGTAAGCCAGTATCCCAAGTGCTGCAGATGCAGAAAATATGTGACCAGTGCCCTTATGATGAACTCTGCATACATTTAAATTGAATTAATGTTACTCTAAAAGGGGTTTGTGCTTTACAGATGATTCCGTTCAACAGGTTATTGACATACTTGATACTGAATACAAAACTTTGCTTCATTGCTTGCGAAAATTGTATGCGTAGGCATGAATTTTAGCTTCTGTTTCCCAGAAACTGAAGGTGATCATGTAGAACATTTTTTGTATTCTAGTTGACATAGAATTACTGTTATTGTGGCCATCGTACCACTGTATAGTGTACAGCATTTTGGTGCAGCTCATTAACTAAGTGTTGGTTTCAAGCATTTTATTTAGAAATTTTGTGAAAACAAACATTTGTCATCTTTAGATGGGTGATTGGAGATGTTTGATCTGGAGGAAGATAAAAGTATTGTTTTGTTTTCAGTTGGGAGCAAAGAGTAGACCAACATGGTCGAGTATACTATGTAGATCATGTTGAAAAAAGAACGACGTGGGATCGGCCAGAGCCCCTTCCTCCGAGGTGAGCCAGGATAAGGAATATGATTGTCTAGGAGACGTCTGGATTTTTCAGAAATTGACTGACAGTTTACTAAAGCTAGAAAGTATGTTTATAAATGGAATTGTGAACCCAGTGCAAACAATTGCTGCAGGTTGTCTCCAGGGAGTTCCGCAAAAATGTGTAGTGCATAGTATGGAAAAGAGTTGAATGTCAAAAATAACAGAATCTGAACTTCCCGTCAAAGATTAAGCAAGTGCATTTTTACTGAGAAATGTTTTTAAGTTAAAGACAGTAGACACCCCTAACTGTAAAAGAGAACCAAAACCACAGAAAAGAATTTTGGGATTTCAGGTAACTGTCAGCTTGAGCAAGAATGCCCTTGGTTAGCTGTTTCTCCTGAGGTTACTGCTCGCAGTCCTTTGATCCTGTCTCAGGGTTCCCAGCTGCTAATTGACTATGTGCTTATAAACCAGCTTTGGTCATTAAGCTTTTCCAGCTGTTAGCGTCAGAACAGCCAGGGGTGTTAGTCTCTACATGGAAGCGGTGGTCACATTTATTCTGTGTTTCTTATTTTTTTTAAGAAGTAAGGAAAACATAAGAATTGTCCAGTTGCACTTGATTCGTACTCACGTGGTTCACACGCTGCATGGAATTACACAGTAAAACCATGTGGGATAGTAAAGAGAACTTGATATTAAAGAACAAAACCGGGCAGACACTCTCATAAAGGGAACTCGCCTGTCATGCTCAATTTATTTTGAACTCTTTGAGAGGACTGACTAGTGTATTACTTCAGCTTATTCAGAGTGGTAGTGTTTTCACTCAAGTTTTGTAAATAGTACTGATTTCATATGAACTGAAAAGAATAAATAAAAACCCCAACCCAGAACCAAACCACAACAAAAAAAAAAACCCAAACCACAGTGCCCACACCTTCCTTTTCTGTCAGATTAGAGTGTGAGGAAATCTTGCATTGTACAGCCCAGATGGTCAGGGCTTCTACTGGTTTTGCTGTCTTCTTAGGAGAAACCAGCAGGCTGTTGTCTCATGGGTTGGGTGGGGTGAATGCAGTGGTGACAGTGTAGTACTGACAGTGGTTTGCATAGCTCTTGAAAATGATTTCAAAAATGCTGGAAGTTCAGTAAGTGAATGAGCCTGACTTGGTACAATACACAACAAAGTGATTCTCCTCAACAATTTCAAGTCTTACATAGTTTTAGTGGAAGGTAAAAGGAGTAAAAAATGTCTGCTGGTGAGCCCAGGCTTTATATCCCCTTCCAACGTACTGCCTGTTTGCCTAAACCTGCTTCTGAGCCCTTAAAATTGTCTGCTATTGAGGACTGTTATTTGTAATTTTTTTAAAAGCTGGGAGCGCCGAGTTGACAACATGGGGAGAATTTATTATGTTGACCACTTCACGAGAACAACAACGTGGCAAAGACCAACACTGGAGTCTGTCCGAAATTACGAGCAGTGGCAGCTTCAGCGCAGTCAGCTCCAAGGAGCCATGCAGCAGTTTAATCAGAGATTTATATACGGGGTAAGGAATGTAGTGGTGACTACAAAGTTAAGAAAGACAGGTATCTTCTTCAAATTTTCAACCCGTTAGTCTGTCTTCTGCATATTGAAAGTATATATGTATTTGGCTTTTGGGCATGCTTGTGGGTGACTTCGCTCCATAAAGATACCAGATTTTGTTGTGGTTTTACTCTTTTTGATAATACAGTATCTGTGTGTGTGTGTAGCATGGCAGGTGGTAATAATTGGTAACCTTAGTTCCTGTCCTGGCAGTGCCTGCAGGCAGCAGATGAGGTGTAATGGTTTTTATTTGTCAGCTGAGTGTAGGTGGTGTTCTTTGATAAAATTTATGTACGATATTGAAAAAAGCCACCACTGGTTCAAAACAAACTGCAGCTTAGTAATAAGCAGATTTGTTTATAGTGCCTTGTATTGGCTTGGCCAAAGAGCTGGAAGGTAAGCAAGCTCGCAGGACATATGTTTCTGCTTTGGGTAAAAGGGAATATGCACAATGAATGCTATGAAAGCAGGAAAATTGAAAATAATCCTTCCAGAATTTTAAATCCATTGTTTACCTCTGATGAACAGTAGACTGTGGATAACTCCAACTCATGCTACTAGTTTACCAAGAATGGTGTAAGTTCTAAATTTGCTATATGTGTAGAGAAAAAAAAATGGACCTCATAAATGTTGATAGGGAGAGCTGTACTGAACGCAGGAATGAAGTGGTTTGCTTTCGGGTTGTTTTGGGTGCTGCTGTACTGATTTCCCTGATGCGCAGGCAGGGGCACTAAACAAAGAATAATTATTTTCTTGGCACTGTGGTTAATTAAGCATGCCAAGGTCTGTAAAATAGGCCTTCTCTGTGAAGTAAAATAAGTTGTTGGCATCTTTGCTTATATGTAACAGTAACAAAAATGCATTTACTTCAATAATTCATGATGGCTGTGTTAGAACATCTGGAAAGCAAGTGAGGAGTCACTAATGCACCTTTTGTTTGTGTGACTTGCAGAACCAGGACTTCTCATCCACACAGAACAAAGAGTTTGATCCTCTTGGCCCTCTGCCGCATGGATGGGGTAAGATGGACTTGCAAGTGCTTTGTAATGCAATGTAATTAAACATTAAAGCATACTTCTGCCAAATTATTTTGTCAGCTCTTCTAGGCTAGTTTTTAAAAGGAAAATCTGGATTAAAGATCTTTTAAACTACATCTAACTAAATGTACTCTTAAAGAGTCCTGACAAGGACATGCGACTTCAAAGTAGATTAGAAATGATAAAGTCAAGCATTCTGGTTTACTCCCTGTAACTATCATAATAGCTTCTTTCACACGCTCATCCTTTTTTTACTACTTTCATTAGACAGGATTTCCCATCACCATCCTGTTCCTGCCAGATCAGACTGCAAACCCCCTCAAACTTGAACTGCCAAATTCCATCTCCAGGCCAATTCTTGGAAAGTTTTGTTGGTCTGAATGTTTTTTATGATGAGAACTAGCCACGTCTTGACTTGCCCCTTTCCCTGGAATAAATTTGGTTTTGTACTTTACGGGGTTAACAATTTACAATTAATTGAGGGGTGGGTGAGCGTACAAAAAATGTAAATGTAAAGCTAATTTCTGGTGTGACTGTCAAGCAGATACAAGAATGCAAGTTTCATGATACGTAGGCAGAGTTCTCAAGCAAGTAGTTGTTTGGCAGTGTTAGACCTGGGTTTTTGACTTGTCTGTTTTTCAAACATAGCTATTTGGATTTTTAGTTCTGGTGCTGATGCAGTTTCATGCCGTAAAATCGTTATTCACCACGCTTGTGCTTTGTTGCGTTAGATGTATAACATTTAAAAGAATGTACTTTAGGCTGGCATTGCTCAGGAAACAGCAAAACTGAGTTTCCACATCGTGCTGAGTTCTGCTCTCAGTGTAACTCTCACAGACAAGTGTCTACATCCAGACTTCCCTTGTAAACTGAAGCTTTTTACTTGTGGTAGTCAGATTCTGGCCTGTTTTTATAATTTGAATTCTATATTCTGTGTTTCTACTGCAACACTTAATAAAGCAACACTAAATAAAAATTGCATAAGGAGGTACAGAATGGTACAGAAGACCAAGCTGGAGCACTTGTCATAAGTTCTGTTCAATCGTGGGCATACACTGAACTATCTGAGAGAAAAGATAAATGTATTTTCTTGGAGACCGCATTGATAATTTTTTATTTCCTGCTTGTAATTTGAATATGAAGCCCTTGTATTTTCCTGAGACTTATATATATATCTGTTACCTGTTTTGTGTTTACTGTCGACATTGGTGGCAAGGTATGGCGCAATAATTGAAGCAGCTGGTGTCTCCTGTGAACAAAACAGCTTACTTTTTTTCCTTCCAATTAATTTTTTCCTACAGTTTGAAAACAGATAGCAAAGGATCTTAAGATGAAAATTTCGACTTCATCAATACTTTAATCCATATAAATTTTTAATGCGAAAAATTACTGAAAAACCTTTTTAAAAAGCACGAAGAGTAGGCCAGTAGATCCAGTGCAGGTGAATCTCCTGTGATGAGCCACTTCCTTCACGCAAATGTTTCTGTTGTTATGATGCCCAGAATCTCTCTTGTGGTCAGAATTGTTGGTACGAGCAATGCAGGCAGGGAGAGCTGCGCTTCTCAGGGTAAGAGCTGAGAGACAAAGACCTTGCCTGTGGACGCCATGAAGTACGGCTGTTCCCTGAGGATAGGTGATGCTGCTGTTTTGTGTGACTGTTAGCAGTCAGTGGTATTAAGGCAGGTTCCTTTCAATGAAAGTGAAAAGAAGTGGAGTCAGAGTACAGAGAAACCTAAAGACAGTAGAGGCTGTGGCAGGGTCTGTTGGTTTTACTTATTTTATTTGGTGTAGTCTCAGCAATACATTAAGCAAGTATTTATTTTTTTTTTATTATTATTATTTTTTTTTTCTTCTTTCTGCATCTTTTCAGAAAAGAGAACTGACAGCAATGGCAGAGTGTATTTTGTCAATCACAACACACGAATCACTCAATGGGAAGATCCCCGGAGTCAGGGGTAAGAAATCAGTTGCAGCTTCACATAAGCTGGGACTTTTTGGGAGTGAAAATGTAACAGAGTAGTGAGACTGAGAGCTAGGAAACAATGCCCACAGCTGAAACATGGACTGTCCTCTGCAAACCTCAGACAGCCTGTTAAAGTATGAGAAGGTACCAGCCAAAATGGAAACTGTCAAAATATTCCTTAGTAATAGTGCAATTACCAGGAAAGTTTTGGTCAACAGCAGTAAGTTCATTCCCCAGCACAGCTTTTATTAACTAAGACACACGTGTTTAAACATTTGTATCATCGAGGAAGGAAGGGGTTTCTTTCATGTGGTGATGGGATTGTGCAGAGGATCCTGAATAAGAATTTTGTTATTTCCTAGACAGTCAGTAGCTAAGAGATAGAAAGAAGACAGTCTTGAAAAACTGAAGCACCCCTCCTCACACCTTTTAAAAAAGGGGAAGAAAAAAAAAAAAAAAGAAAAGTTGAGGCACTACTAAAAGTAATGGAGTACAGTTTATTTCGGGCTCTGGTTGCTCTGACTCTTTGAGGTAGGGAATGTAGGCAGGGAATTGAGGGTGAAGGGTGTTCAATCCCAACTCCTCCTGTTTGAGCTGAAAATTTCCATTTGGTGAAGCAACTTCAGCTGTCCTCTGTAGAGAAGGAGTAAGAGGAGAGGGAGTGGAATAGCCTAATACGTGAGGAGGGGTAAGAGCTGTAGCCAGACATGACACCTTCTCCATCCCAGTCACCCCTGCAGCAGCCGGCTGTGTGGAGAGCGTGATTACTCTTAATACAACCCAGCAACCAAACCTGCTGGCATGGTCCTACCATGCAATTCTATGGAGGGAAGTCACTCTTGAGAGCACTGTGGAGTGTTACTGCTCAGGTCTTCCAAATATATGAAAATCTATTTTTGTTTATACCAAAATTGAGTTGGAAGCTGTTGAAAAATTATACAAGATCAGTATTTGCATTTTTATTTTATTATTGTAATTCTGAAACTCTTAAGTTCTTGTCTACTGTAATTATATGTGAGGTACCAAAAGCTACTTATTAAAATTATGTCAGTTTTCAAGTAAAAAATGTAATAGAAGATAAAATTCTGTTTAAGTGGAGGAAACATCAATAAACCTTGCTTACATTTTTTCCTTAAGTTTCTATTTGCTCTTGTTCGAGGTAGTGCAACCAAATGAGCTAGTGTTTATTTAAACAGTCATTTTTGGTCTAATTGAGAGCTGACATGAAAATTTAAGAGGAAAAAAAGGCAGAACAGATACTGAATTGGAAGTGTCTCAATTTTTACTGTTTCGGGTATTGTTCAATTGAGTTAATAATTAAGTTGATCAGTTACCATATATTTTCTTGTATCCATAGACAACTAAATGAGAAACCCTTACCCGAGGGCTGGGAAATGCGATTTACTGTGGATGGTATTCCATATTTTGTGGATCACAACAGAAGAACCACCACATACATAGATCCTCGCACGGGAAAGTCTGCTCTGTAAGTGTGCTTAACATCATAGTAAGTTTTCAAAAGTGAAGTTTAGCATGCATTGTCTTTGAAAATTTTTTTTCTCCTTGTACTTTTTTTTTTATGCAGGAAGTTTTACATGTAGTAATGCTGCTTAATTTTCTGCTTTTTAACATCCACTGATAACTGTCCCTGAAGAAGGCAGTGTTTTGAACACTTTAGAATCCTTCTTGCCAAGTAGTATGTAAGATTTGAGGGTAATGGAGGAGCTTTATCAGTACTATTGATAACCAGATCCCTTCCTTCCAGTAACCAGTCTTTTTTTTTAAAAATCCCCCCAACTTTTTTTTTTTTTTTTTTTTTTTTTTTTTTTTTTTAAGGAACCAGAATGGAGTTAAAAACAGAATTTAACTCCCAACTTAAATTAATTGAATGTCATCCCATCCTTATTGTTAGAATATTTTTTAATAATCAGATACTGTTTAAAAAGTACTGTGTATGCACTCCACAATTGATAAAGGAAGTTTTTTTTAGTTTAAAATCAAGAAAATCACACCCCAAAATAAAATAAAAAAAAAATCAATAGCAATGTTTCAACTGGACAGCCAACTAAGCCGTAGAACTATATAACTAATACATTAGCAGGCTTTTACTTAAATTGCAAAAACGCTTTTGAAATTCACTTTTATTCTCTTCTTGATTCCAGAGACAATGGACCGCAGATAGCTTATGTGCGTGATTTCAAGGCAAAGGTCCATTATTTCAGATTCTGGTGTCAGGTACGGATTCATTTCTTGGGAATATTTGTTTGCATTTTGGTTTTTGCTTACATGCTTTAAATGAACTCTTCAATGCCTTGCAAGTAAAGGTAAACTAATGTAAGGTTAAAGGTGGGTTAAATTAGGAGGGAGTAAATACAGGACTTGTATAAACTCATGTAAGCTTTAAAGCTAGGTCAGCTACGGCTTTAAAGCTTTTTAGAATAAAGGAAAACATCAATTTAGCTACTTTCTTAAGTGGTGGGTTTCAGAATAGTGTTTTCTTTCTGCTGTTAATAGGGGAATATATGGAGACACAGTATTTTTACAGTTAGTACAAGATCTGCTTTCTTCACAAATACATACTTCTGGAGGACAATGCAGGGCATTTCACAGAAAATCTGCATGGCTAAACATTGAAGATATGCTGTGTGGCACGTTAGCAGGCTCGAACATAATATCAGATTCCAGTGTTTCAGTCTTGGTCCTCTGAAATCTGTGTATATCAAAAGATTAAATAACTTTGTGTTTAGGAAAAAGGCTTAGGTTTAAATGTTCCAGTTTTCAGGAGTCAATGAATTATCCCGTGAAAAATAGCAGGGAGACTAGCCTAAATTTTCACTTTGAATTTTGTACAGAATAACCTAAATTTTCTAGTTTTCTATTAAATTCTGGGGTGGAAAGCCTTACTGACTTAAAATACATTACTGATCTTGGTGTTTTCTGATGTCTTGTAAGAGCACAGTATTTGAACCTGTTCTGAGGAGGATCTGGAGGCATGTGTACCTCACTGTAAATACCAGTATTGAAAGCAATATGTTCTTAGAGTGAATTACAACTCAGATATCTTGATTACTGGGTTTGTTTTATATGGAGTAGTGAATTTCAACTGTACTTCTTAAAACAATATGTACAACAAATACGAGGCCAAACTCAGTAACTTCAAGTGATTGATTGTACAGTTCACCTCTATAAAATTTCATTGCAGCAACTGGCAATGCCACAACACATAAAGATTACAGTGAGCAGAAAAACATTATTCGAGGACTCATTTCAACAGGTATTGTATTAAAACCTGTTAGTAGCGAGCGTGGAAAGTTGAGTTCATCGAATTTATTGTTGCATGTCATTCCTGATCCTTTGACATTTTGCTAATGTTTCTTTAAGTGAGACTAACAAAAAATAACTTAGTTTAATAGTTAGGATACATTCATATTTATATATTAAAAGATCATGCTAAAATCTGAAGTCCTGGCTCTAAAGACTGATTCATCTGACAGAGAAGGTGATTTTTTTTTTTTTAATTTTTCCTCAGAATTCTTTAAAATCTGCGTTAATTTTGAGGGGAACGCTGTGACAGAGCAGCTCCCCATTCTCAGGAGTTTCATGTTGTGCTTATGTTTGTTGGCACATTTTTCCTAACTGGCTGTTATAGAAGCATGAGCTATGTACCGAAATACATGAAGTTGATTTTAGTCTGGGTGTTATGGGTCTTTAAATGGGTAATGAAATTGTTAAAAGAAAACAAAAATCATTAATTCTATTTAGATTGTTAGTAGCAAAATTCTTGTTAATGTCTGTAGATGTAAACCATGGTTAAATTTTGTTCCTATACAAGATTTTCAAGTGCTTTTGAATTTTACTTTCACTTTTTGAATGTTCGTTGTGGTGATAAATCACTCCCATTGCTTGTTAAATTGAAGCCAAAAGCAGCTCCTGGTCAGTCTAAGAAGACAGATAGAAACAAGCTTGGAAGTGCAGGGAACAGTTCCTCTTGGCGGATGCTCTTCCTGGCCACTTCTGCGTTTTTATGACTTTAAAGTAACTTAAGAAAATGCAGACCTTCTCTAAGAGGACAGGAACTTTTAGCTTTGTTTGTCCCTCGCTGAATCTATTTTATCTTCCTGTATGCCTTCCGGCTTCATTTCTTGTAGGAATTATCATGGATGTGTGAAGTCAAGAAATTTGAACATAGAATAGTATGTTTTGAGACATACATTCTTGAGGAAGAAAGCATTAATCTTTATTTAAATTAGTGTAAACTGGCTTTTAGCAGAGGCAACAAACAGTGCAGTTGGCTAGCCTTGGCTTTTGGAACAGTGATGTCTTCAAATAAAAGGGGTTGGAAGGGGACGAAATAAATGCTGTAATTGAATGTTAGGTCCAGCCTTATTTCTAAAATTGCACTTTGTCCTTTTACGGTAACTGTAGAGGTAATAAAATTACACTGCACTGAAAAGAAGAGAGAGATACGTAATCCCGTAAACCCCAGCAAACCTAGGTTTCCTTAGCAAAACAGGGTGCCTTAGCAATAATTTAGATGACATAATCGCAAAGACCTGAGTTGATTTTTTTTTTTTAAATACTTTTTAATCATTCATTATTTGTAGATATCTCCGTTGGGGTTGTAATTTTTTGTGTGAAAATTACTGTAGACATCTAGGAGAGATTTTAAAATACAAATCTTGACCCACATTCTGTGCCTCTCATTGCAAACAAAAACTTAAGGTTCTTGGATGCACACAAGTATTAGGTGAAATTTAAGTAAACCTCTGACAATTGACCAAATCAGCAGAATTACAAATTCGATAGTATTGAAACCAACATTAGTAAAGTTCCTTAGCATCTGTGATTCTTCCTAACTTTTCAAAAACAAACAAGCCAGCTAGATTTTTATTATCCTCTTCAGGAAATGAAGCTGTAAAATGAAAAATACACAATGTATACTTGTTCTTGTTTAGTTTCTAATTTGTTTCTTGGAGTCCTTGATCATGTCTCTTCATAACTGGTAACTGGGATACTGTTCAGTATGGTAACAAATACTGAATTTACTCACTTTAGGTGCATTATTTATTGGCTGGATTTCTGTCATAGTCTTATAGACAGGCTGCTGGCCTAGGTATCCCGACGTATATATTTTACTTTTTAATCTATAGAAATAGTTTTGTACTAATACTTCAAATTCCATGAACATTCCATAAGCAGATACTTCATGTACTTACAGTTCATTTTATGGTCTGAATTACGAAATGCTGTATTGCTTGATAGCAAATAGTAATAAGTCTAGCTAGTGCTTATAGCTGTTTTCTTAAAAAGAATTGATTGTTTTTCTTTTACTAAGATAATGAGCTTCAGCCCTCAGGATCTACGGAGACGTTTATGGGTTATTTTCCCTGGTGAAGAAGGCTTAGATTATGGAGGTGTTGCAAGGTAAACTAAACTGAAGTGGCAAATAATATCTTTTTCTACAAGCTGTTGGTGTGAAGACTTCCCCAAAGTAGATACTTCAACTGCAGTGCTTTCAAAATATTAGTGAAGTTTTTTCCTTGTCTTTCCTCGGAGTATCTGAGGAAGACAGTTCCCTAAGATGTGTGCATGTCTTAAAATTGTATAAAGTTGTTTTCAGTTTGCATTAGGAATTACTTTGTCTCAGTGATTAGAGATGCACTGAACTACAGTAAGCTTTTGGCACAGCTGTTAATATCAAAGTAGCAGGTTATTGAAAAAGTGAATAGGAATCTATTTTCAAGTCAGAAGTCTTTACTGGAATGTAACTGAGAAGTGCGTATATTAATTAGCATTCCCTAAAAGCCTAAAGTTTAAATCAATGGTAGAGTTTTAATCTGCTCATTTAGATAAGGGTGTTTTTTATACAAACCACTGACAGTTGTATGTCATTGTAACTTTGCATCTTGATTCGTCGTCTGTGTCAGTTACAATTTGGTGTCAGTTTGGCCTAGCATACTTCCTGGTAAAGAAGTCAGATTTACTACCAATGTGCCAACAAGTTCCTAAGTCAACATGAGTTATCTAAAGTAGCTTCTAATTTAATTTATTTTAAAATGTGTTTTTATTGTTTGTGTGATTTCAGGGAATGGTTCTTTCTATTGTCACATGAAGTTTTGAACCCAATGTATTGCCTGTTTGAATATGCAGGGAAAGATAACTACTGCTTACAGATAAACCCAGCCTCTTACATTAATCCAGACCATCTGAAATACTTCCGATTTATTGGAAGATTCATTGCCATGGTAAGTTCAAAAGTAGAAAGAGGTTCTCTCATGTCATTTTCCTACAAATAAATATTGTACTATCAGATGGATAATTAAACAATTTATTTTTGAGCTGAAACTGTTACCAGGTGTTTCGATATAACTACTGTTGGCACAAGTTAATTCAGCGTATTAACAGTCATGATATTCTAGGTTGTTTTAATTCTTTGGCTGTCAAGTGTCATTGGTACAGAGTACAGAATGTTATCGTATTAAGTATTCAATCATCCCTTGTGTTATTTTGTCTGTTTTCGTGTTCTTCAGGCTTTGTTCCATGGGAAATTCATTGACACTGGTTTCTCCCTGCCGTTCTATAAACGTATCCTAAACAAGCCCGTAGGACTCAAGGATTTAGAGTCTGTTGACCCAGAGTTTTACAACTCTCTCATCTGGGTAAAGTGAGTTTGACTTCATTTTGTTCTTGAAATAGCAATACAATGTTTTTTATTTTCACTTATGCTAGGAAGCAGGTGTAAACTTATTCCTAAAAACCCCACTGGATAGTATAATATATCAATTGCAGAGCAGTACTGGAATTGTTACTGTAATTTTGGATACATAAATAATAATTTGGTAATGCAGAAGCCTTTCTGGTTCATTGGATATTCTGCATAGCATCTTGCATTCCATTTTTGATGTGTTTTAATAAATCTAGCTAGATATTATACAGATGTGGTAGTCTCGAACACTGTTAACAAATAAAATAGCTTGTGTAAATGCCACTGAAACTTTTCAGATAACTGATGAAAAGAAGTGAGGAAAAATCTGCTCTGTTTCTTTCTCTAGTACCTGGTTTAATGAGAAAACATAAGATCTGTTGCTACAAGAATGTGAAGTTAACAAATGTAGTTTATTATTTACTTTTAGTCATACCTGAAATTTGCCTTAAAGGTTAACATTGAAGGTATAATGCTTTAAAGAAGTTAATGCTCGTGCATTTTTCTGGCTGTCCTTGGTTTTTGGCTCCAAGCTGAATGATTCAAGACCGTTCCTACGTTATAGCTTCCATGTGTGCTTTGTCAGTCATCTGTCTATTCTACATTCATAGTCAAATTTTTGAGTCGTCCTTCTCCGCTCCTTTGCAGATTCCTCTCCAGAGAGCAGCAAGTAAAAAGGATCTGGAGTTTGTAGACCATAATTATTTTCAAATTGTGTGTTAAAATTTTTTTAAGAAATAATTTTAAATACCACTGAGATCTAAAGCACTGTAATTTTGTACTTATTTTGTAATAGCAGAATTCCAGGAGATTGTAGGCTATGGGTGATGTGTGGCATTCGTGTCAGTGACACAGACAATTTTCCTTTCCCAACAATTTAAAAAAAAAAAAATCAGAAGG